TTGTAGCTGACTGGCCTGTCTCTTGTTTGGCTGTCCCTTTTCCCACAGTGAAACAATAGACAGACCTATGCGGTGAACAATAGCACCAGGGGACATACACTCCTTAGAGCAGCGGTTCTCAACCTTCCTCGTGCCGCGACCCTTTCACACAGGTCCTCATGGGGTTGGTGACCGCCAAACATCACATTATTTTCGTTGCTACTTCATCACCGTCATTTTGCTACTGTGATGAATCGTCATGTAAATAGCCGATAGGCGGGATGTATTTTCATTGAGACAAATGGAGCCTCATGAAAGCAGAGTGATGAATCACAAAAACAATATGTAACTATCTATTGTGAAATATGTATCTCTAATTACACACAAATGAAATGTTGTCTTGAAGCATGGTGTAGCATGGGTAACAGTCTTCACACCGTATGTGGGCGTATCTGCATGTGCGCAGACCGGCCTGGAGAGATAGAGCAGTGGTGTCCGGTTCCTAAAATGTATGTTTTCCAGTGGTCTTAGGTGACCCCTGTGAAAGAGTCGTTCAGCCCCCAAAGGGGTCACGACTCACAGGTTGAGAACTGCTGCCTTAAAAGAACCCAGCCCTAGAGACCCCAAAGGGTGGCACTTGACCAGGGGGACCGCTCAGAAGGGGGGCAGGGACAGGGGAGGAGGAGGATGGGAAAGCAGAAACACAGGAAGTGGGAAGCGTACTGCGGGGTTGCTGACCTGCCTTCCCTGTCACAAAGCCAAATGCGGACCAGGTGTCCACTGGAAAAGCAGTCCGGCCTGTAAGGAGAGAACCAGACGCAGCCATGCAATGATGCTGACTGCAGGAAGATCACAAGCCAGTGGGTGGAAAGTCTTGTGGATCCAGTGGTGGTGGAAGCATCTCAGCGCTGCCTAGGTCTCCACGTGGCTCCTCCGGCTCCAGGGCTCTGACTGCATCAGTGTAGCCCCATGTGGCTTGTCAACAGGCATGTTTGGCGGGGAGGTGAAGCAGAGAGTGTGTCTGGCCTCTAGTGAGCTATTATCACCATCTTGCCTCCAAATGAGGCCATCAAGCTGCGACCTGATTGACAGGCTAGACTCCACCCCTTCACAGGTTGACAGATTATGTAATTGCCACACCTGGGAACGTTGCCGCTCGCAGGGGTTGGTGGAAAACGCTCATTTGGCAGATGTGACTTTCAAATAAAGGTGCAACTGTAACTCAAGAAAATTATAAAGAAAAGAAAAGAGGGGTGAGAACCGTTGCAAAACACGACTGTGCATGTAGAAGCTGCCGAATCGGTTGTGGTGTGTTCTGCTGTGCGTATTCTACATAACAAAAAACGAAGTTATGACCAGAAGAAGCCCCGTGGAGTGTAGTTCTCCCCTGACACACACGAGGGCAGTGTGACTCAGAGGCGGCTCAGGGACCACTGTGGTTTTGTTGTCATTGCTGCTGCTGGCTCCCGGAGGAGGCAGAGATGGAGAAGTGGGGCTGTGGGGGGAGGGGAAGAGGTCGGTAGCATCATCTGTCATCCCTGAGGTGTGCTAACTGGGAGGCAGTTCAAACCCACCCAGTAGCTTCAAGGTGATTTCCAGAAGATTACCACCTCAGAAAGTCTGTAGGGACCATCTCCTCTGTCACCGAGGGTGGCTGGAGTCGAAAACCAACTCCCGATGCCCAGCCATGAAGATCTATTCTAGC